CCCCAAAACCCAAAACCCCAAAACCCCATAATGATAATACTGTGTTTAAAATAATGATTGCATAAATATAGTTAAAAAAATAAACAATTCATTGTCTTTCCTTTCTAATTTAAGGATATTTATTGTCAGGAATTGAAGTGCAGAAACTATTCATTCAATTGAACTAAACTTTGCATAGATACTTCATCCTTATTTGATTGGTGTTATAAACTACGAACTCATTGTGTTCTCTCTAAGCGCCCTTGTCAGGGTTAGTAATCAATTTTCCATATGGTACTTCGATGTCCTTTTCAATCGTCTTAGACTCAGCTGGGTTAGGGATTTTTCTACCAATACATTAAGTACAGTCAAATCCCTTTGGGAGATTATCAGCATCTTGATCAGTTTGATAAAGTGGCCTTGGCTTTCCAACAGCAACCTCACACAATAAGAAGAGGCCAACATTATTTGAAAGGTTAGCACAGCAATAAGGAGCTGATTTTCCAGCTAAATCAGCGAAGTATACTCCCTTACCAAACAGATATCCAGTTTTGGGAGCTTCAGGAGGAGCTATTCTCAAACCCTAGCTCAAGATACCACCGAAATTTGAGAATCTGCTTCCGTGCCAGAGTAGTTTTTTATTGGATAATTTGTTTGGATTGAAGGTCTTGTCTTCTCCTCCTCTGACAACTTTGAACAAATCGAGTAGTTTCAAAGTTCTTCCATCACTAGTGTGAGCAAGATACTACTCAACCATTTTCATCTCTTCAGATTTGTGATCAACTGTCTTAAGGTCACAGTTCAGGGCTTCATATTTTTCATCAAGTGGATGCTTGGCATTCTTAGTAGGCTTTTTGGGGTTAACGATCTTATGAGCGACTTTAATATCAATCAAATTTTGAATTAGGTCAATCTTTTGTTTCAAAATTTCAATTGTGTTAATAGTGAAATTCTTCATGTGCTTCATGCTGAAATTATGTGGAATGTAAGTGTAGAACTTTGAAGAAAGATCAGCAAGATCGCCCTTTTTCTTTCCATTTAGGACTTGCTCAATTTCTCTAAGATACTTGTATCCTTCCAGAACAGTCTCTTTGTCAAGCTGTCCCAAAGGGAGTCTCTTAACATCGTAACCTATCTGGACGACTGATTACTCGATCAGGTTCATATCAAAGATGAAGGACAATAACTCCTAAACTGCTGAATCTAGCTTGGACTTAGGACCATCACTTTTGCCGTCCTTTCCTTTGACCTCCTCTTTCTTAGCTAAGTCAGCTTTAACAGCTTAGTTAGGATTTCCAAGAGCCATCTTGACCTCGGTATAGCCTTTACCTGTTTTTTATCTGTACTTTTTGTCATACTCTCTAATGAGTTGATCTTTGCCGCCACAGAATATATTTGACCCAACACCGTCAAGGCCTACTCTACCATACCTAGTCCATAGATAATGCTTTCCTGTATTATCAAGAAGTGCTTGAGATATGTAGTATTTGTTGTGATTATTCTTGATGTCACTCCACATAAGATAGCAAGAGAGATTTCTTCCATTATCATCAATAACTTGAAAGTTTTAAGCTTGAGGCACAAGATGGTCTACTAAAACTCCTCCTTTTGAAGAGGTCTAGACTACTTTTATGTCGCTCTTTTTGTCTTTCTTAGCATCATCAGTTGCTTTTTTTGCTGCTGCTTTAGTGTCTCTTTTCTTTTACATTTAAATTATCAGATTATAACTAACTGATCAGATTTAAGATTTAAATCTCTAATTGCTAGTAATATACCTTTATTGACATCAAGGGGTTTTGGGGTTTTGGGGTTTTGGGG